TAGCTCAACTGGACTTAGCCCATATCAACTAGCATTCGGACGACGACAACGTCATACATTTAGTCCTCATGCAACTACATTCGTTTTCAGCAAACCACATGATTATTGGACGCAAGTGATACAATACAGAAATGCAGCGTTAAAACAAGCAAAACAGCATATAATACATCAACAAGAACTATCAAAAACTCGCTTTGATAAAAATCGATCGCATCCGAATTTCGTTGTAGGTGACCTTTTGTGGATGAAAGTTTTTGTCGGACGACACAAACTTCAAGCTCAATACACTGGTCCGGTTCGAATCGTTCGAATTCTCTCACTCCTATCATTTATAGTTGAAGATGAACATTTACAACAATTTCAAGTACATTCAAACAATATGAGACGTGTATATTCTCGTGAATCATTCCAGACGTGATACAATTTTTCTAACGAAATTCATCTGCTCACATCAAATACTCACGCGATTTATTTAGTATTAATATCTTTTTATCTTGTTTATTTCAACTTTTCTTAACTTTCACCTCAACAATGCCTCAGCTATCTTCTTTTTTTTTTTTGAAAATTTTGTTTCTCAAATACTTCTCTTACAGCTTGCTGTTATATTGCATCTATCACTCACTCCGATCGTATCATAAACATTTTTACTCCTAATTAGTACTTAACATTTGTTTTCTCCTCTTCTACTTCAATTCCTTTCTCATCAACTTTTATATTTGTCCTCTTTTCGCACACTGTTTCGCGTTCAACATATGAATTATCTAATTTTTTTGTTTTATTTTTGCTGTATTCACTTCCGATTCTTTCTTTTCATGGTGTTCGAATTGTTCAATATCGTTTCTTATCTTTTACTTTGTAACTTTTTGGAGGGGGGAAGTGTTATGTCAGTAGAGACATCTCCTGACATAAGACGGTCATCTTTATCCCTCTATCATAGTTAGGAGATGGAACCAATCGGTGGAAGAGAAAGAGAGAAAGAACATTCTTTGCTGCTTTTTGTTTTTGATTATGCGGTTGTTTGTTTTTGTGAAGAAAGAAGGAATAAAGAAACTGGGGAAAAAGGACCTAACAGATTGACAATTAAATAAGCATTAATTACTTAAGTGGGACGCTCCTCGGAATATCTATGGTTGATTGAAAAATGAATTGATTTTGACGAATTCATCATCTAAAACTGACTTCTACTATCATATTTTTCGAGGAATTTTCACGTTTTTTTTTTAAGCTTTTTCGACTTTTTAGGTTACTTCCACTAAGAGACTACGAACATTTAACATTAAGATCATATATTTGTAGTCTGTCTTGCAATATAGAAGTGATAAATTCTTTTTTTGTTGCATAGAGGACACTTAAGAGTAGGTCCTAATAGAGCTCTATTTTTGAATTTCTCCATTGGTGAAATAGAAAGCCTACGCATCTCATGTTGACTGTGAATTCGAAAATTTGTCAGAGCGGATTTTTTTGATAGAATAAATAAAGCGTATTTCCAAAATCGGGCTCTATTAGAATCTAATACCAAGGGTACTCTACAACTTAAAAACAGCCTCGCTATACTAGCTCGTGTCCTGATTGTCAAAATTTTGCTCTCGTACAGAGTACTTTTGAACAAACAATAGATAAAAACTCATAGATTTGAGAAGATATTTTAACCATAATCTACCCTCGTCAAGACTAACATTCTCTCGAATTTTGGTTGAGTTCCATCGAAAAATAAAAAAGTTTGTTTTTGAAGGGTTGCCACTTCAGAAAAAAGCGTTAATGCTCTTCATCTATCTCATAGTTAGGAATCATGAAAAATTTATATAGATTTCCTAGATGGAAAATTATATTTAGATCTCTTAAATCAGTTTTCATCTCATATGATTGAACTCGATTAGCAGCTTGCGGATCAGATCTAGCTGACATTGGCGTTCTCTACTGATGATATCCAATTGAAAACTTTGACAGGTCTCTGGATATATATGTTCTCCAATAGAGAAATTCTATATCTATTTGTGATTATTAAAAGTAGATATTCTAATAATAATAAAATAATAACAGCTTTCCACGCTCTTCTTCAAAGACATGCACTGAGGAGAAAATAAAAGAGAAAGAATAAACTTTAACAAATGCATCATAAAATAAGAATAGATAAAACATAACTTTACACAAAAGATACATTTGAGAACGAATACAGTGAGTTCAGTTTGAATTACACTCAGTGATTAAAGATGAATGTAGTAGTTCAACGAAAATCAATCTTATACAATTAAAAGAAAGTTTCAAGCTATTCTAAAATTCTATCACGCAACTGAAGTCTGAAGAGATCGACGAAAAAAAACTGACCCTAAACAATGAAGTATAAGTGATATCTATTCATTGGAATTAACAAACCCTGACTATTCTAGCACATTGAATAAAACAGATTTACCATAAATCAGCAATTATCTACAAAAGTTGACTATTACCAGTAGATAATTGGTTTCGTCAAAATACTGGTAGTAAAACACATTTATTTTCGTCTAATCTATGTTCTATACTTTTGTGAAACTCATAAGTTGATAGTTATGAATTAATATTCGGAAGACTTGTAAATAAATTTTGGATGCAAGTTGTTACATAGGCATGCACCAAACCCAAACCCAAACCCAAACCGTTTGGGAGTTTGGGTTTGGGTATTGAGTTTGAGTTTGGGTTTGGGTTTGGGTATTTGAGTTTGGGTTTGGGTTTGGGTTTGGGTATTTGAGTTTGGGTTTGGGTTTGGGTTTGGGTATTGAGTTTGGGTTTGGGTTTGGGTTTGGGTTTGGGCTTGTGTATCAGCTAAGCGTTCAAACCAATGCTGAAATTTCAGTTCTAACCATGGCCGATTCCTCTTACATCATTCGTTGTTAATGCTTGCTTTTTATCCCGAGTTGATAAATAAAAAAAGAACATCTTTGAACTTCTCGGTTGGATTAATAGATTCAAGAAAACGAAGAGACATTCAAAAATCATTTATAATTGTGTTTCTGCTTTATTCATCTATTGCATTTTGCAGATATGAGTTGAACGAAGAGATTTGAAGAAACTTGTGAAGGAATTGAGGAGAAAATATTCGCATGTTGTCATTTTCGTAAAAGAGACAACATGTTCGTCGTTACCAGGAATATATTGAACATATCATACACAAGTTACACGGATCATTCTGAATTGAATATTTTTGAATAATATTTGACACTTTTTTCCTCAGTTTGTTCTTTTGATAGCTATTATATGTAATAAGCTAACGATATAAGGTTATCTTATACACAGATTAATCAGATATTTTGTACAAGCCGAATTTTTTAAGACGACAATGTAATATTTTATTGTGGTAATAAACTGAACTGTAATTTTTAACCGAATATGATCTAGAAAACTACTTTCGTCTCATCAGACATGTCAATATTCGTCGGTAATATATCAAAACAAAAGTAAAGCGATTTTAATCGTGTTACTCACGCTGAGTATCCTTAGATGTTGACACAAACGGTTAAAAGATAATTAAATGAATGAATCCAGTCTCGTGGTTCAAAAAAACGTTTTTCTCTTTCCTGTGTTGTTATATGGAAACGTACTGTTCGAATAATACTTGATTTTTTTTCTCTTTCCTTTACTATATATAAGTACCAACAAATCTAATGAATCTAGTTATTATTTTTGCTGATGATCAAGAATAACTGTTGTTTACATTTAAATGAAAACTAGACGTCATACAACTGATTCTCTTATATCTTCATCACCTGATGAAAGCATTGATATATTGCCATCAACTTCAACTGATGAACAATCGACTAAAACATCATCAAATCAACACGTTATTCAAAGCGTTTCAAAATCTAGTGTTTGGCAATATTTCGAAAGATGTACTTTAAACGGAATTTTAAAAGCCAAATGTTTACTATGTCAACATATATTATCAACACCGAACTATGGAACATCAACTCTCAAGCGTCATCTAGATCAAGTACATGATATAAAACAAACTGATTCATCTGCTGTACCAAGTTCATCGACTATCTCTAACAAAATATCAAAACCAGAAAAAAAAGCATTGGACTTATTAGCTGTAAATGCAATAATTCAAGATGCTAGAGGATTTGGTGATTTACAGAAACCTGGTATCAAGAAATTGATTGATGCTTTGAAACCGAGTAAGAATAGTTTCTGATTGTTGTTCAGTAAATAAGATAGGAAGAAAATATTTCCAAAGTTAAAGTTGTGTTTGCAGTATAATAAACTTAGTTAGTAACAACTCGATTCGCTGTATAAGAAAACCTGATTTAATTTATGAATTCCATCATCTCGTAATGACCACATTCTGAATCAAGAATAGCAAAAATTTATAATAAGTATCGAAACTTAGTAATATATTTTGGAAGCCATTGAAAACTGATTATAGGAACATTGTATATATAGAATAAAAGTATTAAACAGAACAAGTCTATTTTAATAAAAATATAATTATAGGTTTTTTTTTCTTTTATATTCTCTATATGCATCTAATAAATGAGTAACATTTCTCATTATATCAACTGTTAGTACGTGTCACCTTTCTTTATTATGTGGTTACAGTTTCTATTCTGTTTTCTTTTAGTATTATTTATTTTATTTTTACTTCTCACATTTCTATTAATTAATGATTCACGTTTTGTTACGAAAAAAAGATTCTGAATTAGATTCTAAGTAAACAATGGAACTGATAAAATGACAAAAAAATCAATTTTCTTACTTATATTAACAAGGGATCTCTTAATTTTATGATGTATTGTAAACATAATTTTTTCTATATCTTTGTTTTCATGTTAACTCTGTTATTTTAGTAACAATAAAATAAATAAGACTATATGATTCCAACAAAAGCTTTTCAAAATTTCTTCATTTCATGCATTAAAAATTTTCTAATTTCAAGATTCTTGAATGTGAAATGATCTCTGATAATATTTTCAAGTTCTTGTTTGCAATTTCCAATCGATTAATTTCTTAGAGAGAAAAGGTTGGATCGTGATGGTTCCTAAGATTCATCGAAGGTTACTATAGTAGATTGAATCCATTAGAATTTATCAGAAATTGAGGTGAATAAGAAAACAGGAACAGTTAATTCTCTAAGTTTTAGGTAAGAAAGAAAATATGCATGTAAGAAATGTGAATGTTGCTGGATGTTTATAGATCTCGGTGGATCTTGATGAATTTAGTAGACTTGAGATTTAAAAGAATCCGTACTTTCAACGTTGAATTTAAATCAATGATGAACTTTAAGACCTCTCCTAGATTCTGATGAACTATACTTAATTCTAATGAATCATATTGAATTTAAGTGAATCTTAGTAAGATTTGATAGATTAAATGCACTTCAAGGAACTTATCCGGCCGACTACTATAAGACTTCCTTTTTGCTAAAATCAGACAAAATAAGTTACTACTACTAAACAGATAAATGAAATTTATTTTTGATCAACAAAAAGATAACATTGTTGAATCTAAAGTTAACAGTATAACAATTTCTGTAATTGAAAAAAGTTTACATATATCATAATTCTTTAGAACTTTATTTGTTTTTTTCTGAAAAAAAATGTAGCCTCATCATTTAAAATTTCTATTCTCTAATAGATTACATACCACCACACAGAAACGTAGTGGTAAAGCAATTGAAACGTCTTCATCAACACCACTATAATCGAAAGAAAATTGAATTTGAAGAAGCTAAATATTTATCCATTACTTGTGATTTTTGGAAAGACCGAAAAAATAATTCGTTTCTGGTGATTACAGGACATCATGTTGACAAAAAATTCGATCAACATTCAAAAATGTTACAATTTATGCAATTTGAAGATCGCCACTATTCATTAACTATTGCAAATGAAATTGAAAATCAATTAATTAACCTGAATTTATATGATAAACTAGTCACCATTACATGTGACGGTGCACCTAATATGCGCGAGATGTTTAATTATTTTTCTCGTCGAAATATAAAATATATTCATTGTACTGCTCACAAATTACACCTAATTATATGCAACAGCTTGAATCTTTGGGTTACAACAAAGAAAAAAGGAAATACAACTGAAAATGAAGAAGTTATTGAAGCTAGTATAATTGAAGATGATGAAGATGAAGATGAAGGTAGTTTAAGTCAACTGGTGAGAACGATGTCCTTCGATACTGATCCATTATCTTATGGTATGATCAATGATGATAGTGAAGGTGATGAAACATCAAAAGTAAGTTATGAATTTATGTTTTTTTCAGTTTTAGTTTTTAAGATCAAATCAAAATTTTTTAGTAGTAAGAAGTAAATAAAATAGCAGCTCATTTAAAGAATAAAAACTATAGTTGCAGCCAGTTGCTGATGACGATTCATTCTGTAAATTTCATTGCAGAATATTCATCATCAGAGAATTTAAGCAATTAAGAGTTATAGATAGTATCGAGTTAGAAAAAATTTTGTCGAATTACCCTCGAAATCAAGTGTGGCATATTAATCGTTAATTTAATTCCATTGAAAAGCGAACTATTTGAATCAATGAATTTTTTAATTTCAGCTTTCGCTTCATATGTATGTAATTAGTAATTAATTAGCCTGTTTCAAATGGCAATAGATTTTTCATCAATGCAGAAACTTCTTTTGTATTGAAATATAAATATATTTAATAGGTACTACTTTATTTGAAAATTTTCAAGTTTTTCTTAGGAAAAAAGAAACAATTGTGAAAAATATGACTCTCAATAAGTTTTAAATGGAGGCTATGACCAATTAAAGACAGTATCACATACATATAACAAAAGCAACAATCGTTTTGTAATATAAAAAAAGACAGTCTATCATTCATCAACATCAATTGTAATCCTAGATGTCCAATAAAATAAGTTTTCGATCCTATTATTGGCAAAATTTCTCATCGAAAAATCTGTTTTTGGAAAATTAATTGAAGTCGAGCTGTTTCTATCGAAAGACACCGCGAAATTTCCTTCCTCAGAATATAAATAACTTCAAAAGGAGATCGAAATCGAACAGACTTTCATAGAGGGTTTACTTTGAACTAGCCAGTCCTCAGAAAGACTTTCATATTGTTTTATTTTTAGTAGACTAGTTCTTATTTGCGCTATCGCTGAATAACCAACCTTCTAGAATTTAAACATCACACATGAAACTAGCTTACAAATCCTATCAAACTCTTTTAATAATTCACGTATGTTATTTTCTCTGGACCTAAAACAAATTCATGTCTAAAGTTATTTGCCCTTTTTTCAGAAGACAATTTTTTTTATTTGAGAAATTAAAACTTATACTATCTACTTCAAGTTACAAATGTTTCTTCCGTTGTAAAGATTAAAATGAAATAAAATTTTCTTCAGCCAGATCGTTTTCTAGTTACTTTCTTTTTCGAGACAGTCATGATTTAGTGTCTTTGTAGTGACATTTTTCTCACATTCTTTAACGCTATGTATATTAAAATAATCAAAAAAGATCAGTGAAAAAAAAATTTTAATTCTGTTCAAAGAAAAATTGCACACATATGTAGGCTGTAATTCAAAGTCATCTGGGTTCTATACTCTTCGTAGTGAAAAAGTTTTGAATGTTGACCTGAAGGCTATAAATTATCTATAGACAAGTTAAAAGTTTGGTCTAGTTCGACGTGCCGAGGTAAAATTTGGTATAGAAGTGCTTTCGATTGGGACTATTCATTCCTTAAAACTTCCGCCTAGACAAATCGTGCTCAATGGAAATATTTTTGCATGAATAACGGAATAGAATAGTGAGGGACAAATTTGAGTTTTCATATAATAATTTATCAAGAATCAAGGTTTTAGGTTATTCATTTTAAAATCTAATTTTCTATGAAGGAAGATGATGATGTCGATGGTGAATTAGAATCGAATGATCAATTAACTGATACATCAACAGATGAAGAATGGACGGATGAAGAAGATGATAATGACGAAGAGATAGTTGATAATTTTGTTGAAGGAATTAATATGGACGAAACATCACTTGATTATATACCACAAATGATCAAAGACGTGATTGATAAAACACGTGAAATAATTAACACCATTAAAGGATCATCAATATTAACAAGTTTTATTGAAAAAAAAAGATTACATTTTAATGCACGTGCTAAGAAACAGAAAAAAATCAAACGACGTTTGATCATTGATGTAAAAACACGATGGAACAGCACCTATAGGATGCTGCATACAATTAATCTCTATCGTAACTTTATTAACGATCTTTTCAAATCAAAAGGAACTCTTGGTCTTTCAGTGAAATTACGAAGAAAATTAACACGTGTTGAATTATCGACTGATGAATGGGATAGTTTAAATTTGATTATTAGCTTATTATATCCTTTTTATTCAGCTACAAAAGTTTTAAGTAATGCAAAATATCCAACTGTTGGATCTGCATTGTATCTTTTGAAAGGTCTTGAAGAACATCTTACAAAAGAAGATAATAATGAATTGTTAAATAATTTTAAAAAAATTATATTGAATAAATTTCGACAGTATATTATTGATGATGTAGAACAATTCAATACTTTAAAAGTAAGTGGTATGCACTATTTTAATTTCTTACGTGAATTAGCTGTATTTTTTTTTCAGTTGTACTCATACTTTGATCCAACAGGTTTTTCGGCTCTAACAAGAGGCGAACAAACAACAGTTGAAAAAGAAATAACAAAATTACACAAAAATGTATTCTCATCATCAGAAAATTCTTCGTCATCATCAAATCAACAAATGAAAAAAATGAATAACATCGATAAAGCTTGGCATGGCTTTCTTCGAGCTACCAATAAAGATCTAATTCAAGAACCAACAACAACAACATCTACAATCCAATCAGATATAAGAAAATATCGAAATTTGGCAACTAAATTGTACGTATGAAGATCTTTTTTTAGATGTAATGCTTAGGCGATATTGGGTGACTGAGGTTTGTAAAAAAGTCACGCACATGTTCATTACAATTAATTATATATAATTGGACTTGTTGTATTTTTAACGAAAATTTTTGCTTGTTATAATTTGAGCTTGATATTAGAATACACTACATCGCTATCTACGAAATTCTCAGTTTATACTTTCGAATTTTCATCATATATTGAATTATAATTGTGCACAAGATGGAAAAAAAATTAAAGAGATAAATATCAGAATATGTCAAGCTAATACAATACGAAAATCGATCGTTTTTTAAGCTACATATATACAGATAGTTTCTATTGTATCATTATAGTTACTTTCTTCTGAAAAGCTAATTTTCATTGAACTGAATAGACGCAGTCATTCGAAAGATCTATGAAAAACTTCCTTAAATTAGACAAAATATTCTTAATCGAAGTCCATATTAATTCAAATTAAACTAAAAGTTTCAATTAACGTTTACTTTTTCATTTAATTTATATGGAAATTAAATTATGAGATATTTATAAAAAATGTAAATTACTTTGCCACAGGATTTACATTTACTTTTAAATGTAAATCGTGTTAATTTACATTTATTTCTATACGGAAGTCCTGTACCAAAATAATTTACATTTATTTCTATACGGAAGTCCTGTACCAAAATAATTTACATTTACAATAAATATTAACTTCTTATAATTTATTTTTATTATAAATTGAACAGTAAATAACATCCCTAAATTAAACGACGTGCGATAGCTTTTTCGAGAATCTTTATCGATAATCAATTTTCTGATCCTTTGATTTTTTGGAAACAACATGGTGTTGATTTACCATTATTATCAGATATGGCTCGTTGCTATTTATCAGCTCCTGCTACAAGTGTTCAAAGTGAATCGGCTTTTTCTATTTCTGCACATTATGCAAGAAAAGAACGTTCTCGATTATCACCCGATAATCTAGCGATGTCAGTATTTCTTAAAGACAAGCTTTAAAACTGACAGAAAAAATGATACAAAAGTGGTCAGCATACATACAATTGCATCTGAAAATTTTTATTTGTTTCTCTTTATGGTACTTCTTTGTGTGTTTATCTTGATTGAAATAAAAAAATTCGAAATATAGGTTAATACAAGATTCTTTTGAAGAAAGTACAGTGTAAGTAATTGAAATTTTAACCTGGAAATGTTTTCAATCAAATTATTATATATATCTATTACATTACAAGAAAATAGTAATAATATATTTTTTTATAAAAATACATCAAATAATCATACTAAAGTTTGAATACAATATAGATTCTTCTTGATAGACTTATAAAGCTGCAAGATATGTATATGCTACTGAGACACCACAAAAAGATTCCATTGTAAATAGTATTTGAACATTAAGTCGAAAAATTCACTAAAAATCAAGACATTATAATCCTAATTTTATTTTTATGCGATGTATCAATCGCAGTCCTATAATTAACTATGACATGATGCACTTCAATGCTACTGCCTACTTCAGTACTATGCACAAACCTCGACGTATACAATTCGAACAAAAAATCAATAGCCAAACCCAAACCCAAACCCAAACTCAATACTCAAACCCAAACCCAAACCCAAACTCAAATACCCAAACCCAAACCCAAACTCAAACTCAATACCCAAACCCAAACCCAAACCCAAACTCAATACCCAAACTCACCAAACCCAAACGGTTTGGGTTTGGTGCATGCCTATTGTTACACCATCAAATTCAGAGAAAGAATATGTGATCGTATCTGTTTTGGAATTTATTTCCTGCTATTTCTCATGGCATTTTCTTATTTACGTTGTAAATATGTTCAAATCAGATAAGTCAAATTTTCTTTCATGCTGCATCTCTTAATTAGTCGAAGAATAAAGAAACATATTGTCTAGACAAAGATTGCCAAATCGAACACTCAAAAATCGGAAATTTTTCTCTCAAAATCGGGAAAAATGTCGGAATTATTTTTCTGAAAGTCAGAAAAAGATCAGAAAATAGTTTTTAAATGCTGAAGTAGCTGATTTATTTTCTGTATGGTAGCATGCTTAATCTTGTTTCTTTGTATTTTTCTCAAACACTATCGGAAAAGATATTCCATAGTCGAAAAGACAAAAACAGGAATTTATATATACGATTCAGTCATAATGAACAAAACCACACAAGTCATTTAGTCTTAAACACATTGTTTTCTTCAAAAAGATTAGAACCAAGTTCATAGAAAAATAGAATCAAAAGTATATGCGGATATATATACACATACGTCTTACGAAATTCGTTTAAAAGAACTAAAATTTATTAAGTATCACGACGTTTGTTTGTTCATATTTATCCTAAGCTTGAATTCTCTTCAATGCGTCTCATTCAGATAAAATAAATTCATAAGAATGTTCACAATGATAATCACAATTCATTGTATTTCAATTCTTCAGCAACTAATTCAGTAGATTCTCTCAACTTTGATTGAAGTTTATCATTAAAGGATTTTTGAATATTCAAAAAGGCCTGAATTTAGAAAAGTTCCAAAAATCAGAAAATCGGAATTTTTCCTGTCATATCGGAAGATCTAGTAACCTTGGTCTAGACCCACAATCTTCATAAAAGCAGGTTCAACATGTTAACCTGCTTTTTTCCTTCGTTTTGCTTCTTTCTCCACCATTTCTTGTCGTACATGCAGTGGTAGACCCGGATTAAGACATAAAGCGTATGGCAATAATGTTTTCGGCATATCATCAAAATTCACCCTAATTTTAATGAACATTGTATCATCTCGAACATAAACATTATCTTCTTGTTGAATCACTGACAAAGGACAAAACTTTGGAATGCCGCTTGCAATATTCATTTCAGATCGTGGACGTTGAAAACTATTTGATTTAATATCTGGTCGAAATGAATCAATAATATGCCGTTGTGCAGGTGTTTGATCGTATAAACAAAATGTGACTTTATAGTTGAATGGAAATTTGAGAATGACATCGTATTCACTTTGCATAAGCACAAAAAAGAGTGACATATGTGTACGACGAGCATTACCGTAACCATTTAAATAAAGACGAACTCTCATTTTATAACCAGTTGGAGATGAATAAAATGGTGGAGAATAAATTGATGTTTGTCTTTCAGATTGTGCATCAACTAAAAATAAATATGTGAAGAAGAGCAGAAGCTAATATAAAGAAAGTTAATAGATCGACAGCATTGATGATTCATTTCGTCAGTTCATTAATAGATTACTCATAGATTGTATTTAAAAATAATTATAAATATATAATGTTGAATGTTACTTTGAATCATCAATGTATTATTGGTATGTATGAAATTGGTCGAAAAAAAAAATGTCGATGAAATAAATGTCGAAAGGAAAATGCCGAAAAAAAAACGTCGACAAAAGAAATGTCGAGAAAAAAAAGTCGAAAAAAAAAAGTTGAATAAAAAACGTCGAAGAAAAAAATGTCGAACTAAAAAATATCGATGCTCTGGGAATGTCGAAAGATATTCATATGAAAGTGATCCACCAAAAAGGTAAAATTTTATTTTTTTTTCAACAAAGAGAATCACAGATTTTAACAATGGCTATTAACTATAAAAAAAATAACAACTTAATGAAAAAGGAAAAATACTAATACATCTGCTTATTTTTTTTTTTGCAATCAGCAAAGCTAAACCAGCTAATAAACCTTCAGCATCTATTTGTTTATTTTCGTATCGCTTATTCAATGTATCTATTCTTTTTTGAATTGCATCAGCTGCACTCGATTTAGGCCGTTTTTGAACACCTGTATTAATGCGAGCATATAAATGCTGAAAGCGAATTTCCTCGTTCATCAGACATCTAATAAATGACCAAATGTTAGAATGTGCTGTTTGAATGCGTCGATTTAGTCGAGCATGAAAGCCTAAATAAAGGAATATTAACCTAACTTTCATACAGAAAAGACAAACATACCTTCACATGTATTATTTGTTCTTTGTTCACAACCATGAACATTCCACATTTCTACTGGTGTATTAGTCAACCACTGATTTTCGAAGTAGAGAAATAATTGACGAAGTTCTTGTTTTACTTTGTTGTTTTCTGATGCACGTATGTTATAAAATGCAGTTTCAACTTCCTGAGGTGGTAAAAGTGCTAATGCCATTATTTTACGGCAACAACTTCGTATTTCTTCATCTTGTGAATAAGCTGAACTTAAACCCAATGCTTGGATTTGACGATGAATGCTCTGATTATAATGAAAAAAGCTGTTAGCGCAATCCCTTGTGGGATTAAAAATGTGAAACACGATGGATCTACTGCTACTAATTAAATGGAAATCGTTTTGTTCCATTTCTTTGCAATCCATTTGTAACGAACCGCTTACCTGATGATTTAGAACTACAGTTTCTCTGTCACGGTCTGTGATGGGTCCAAAGCCCGTCTGTCACGGCCTGT